TCCGCTATGAATTTTCTACTGGATTCGTTTGTGATATCGCTACTAGTAAAGATGGCTACTTCTAATGTATTACTTTAAAATAAAAGCGGATAAGGTTAAATTAAAAGTAGTTTAACAGTAAAATTAAATTTGAAATACTTACGAATAATTTATAAAACAACATTGCATTATAAAGTTATGTTATTACAGGAAATCTATACGTTCATACAGGACCTAAGCAGAATAGCTATCTTGTGAACTTACGACAATGTGTAATACAGTTTAATTATTGTTAATTTAATATTTTTACATGTATAAGTATGTATAAGTATTTCTTACACTTATAAATATTTCTTGTAAATGTTAACAAAATAATATATATGATTAAGGTTTAAGGATCGATTGTTCCAACTTCTTGGTAAGTTAATTGATAGTTAAATTATATCTCTGTCTTTGTTTTTCCTTCAAATTAAGTAAAGATAAACATATGATTTAATACTTAAAAACAAATATGCCTTACATTTTTATTTTAAGGCATAATTGTTTTTAACCATTAAGTCAGCCATTAGTTTAAGCCTTTACAGATATTATACTAGTAATAACAAAACAATAAATCAAAATATTTTTTATGCCAGTAATGTCAGTAATACATGCAAGTATATTACAAAAAGAGAGGTTAGATTATTAATAATAATAAATATATTACATTAAATTATTTCGAATAATAAAATTTATTATTATTCTTACATACCTGATTGAAGACGAGTATGAAAATCAGCATTTTCTATTATTTTATATAACTCCTTTATATTCATATATTTTTTCTGTGACATCACTTTTCTCACTAGACGTCGCCATGTTAGATTGTATCACTTTCCGCTCAAATAGCGTAAATGAAAACCGCTACAAAATATGGCGTCCGCTCCCTCAACTTGTTGAGATGTAACAACTGAGCGGAGCGTCATTCAGTAGAAAATCTAGTAATGTTGCCCAACTGTTGAGTCTACTGAATGCAGCCATTAATATAGAGTGTTTACGATAAGTTGTCGGATTGGAAATCCTACTGAACAGTGGTACTCAATCGACCCATTTCAAAAAATTCCCTAGCTTAATCAGATTTTAGTAAAAGCTGTCTCAGCAGTAATTGGATTAGCTTCATAGCGACGTGAGGTGATACTTTGTCCTCAAGAGAAATAAAAAGTTAAAAGTAGGTACGTAATTATTATTCTAATGATTAGCGCTTATCATTTTCCTTATATCAATATCAATATCATTTTCCTATATATCAATATATGAATAAATGATCTGTTACACTTTTACTGATATTAAATTAATGAAAAGAAGTATTAGTAATCTCACGTGTAGTAAACATTAACCTATAATAATATTGGATTTATGTTATAATTTCGTATGTAACAAAATAAGAACAGTATAAAATCTGTCAAATTAACATTTTAAATATACTAATTTTAAAATATATTAAGGACATTTATGCATTTATATATAGATACATATAAATATGTGTGCTTGATATGTATATATTCATGGGTGTATATAAGTTGGACACGGGGCAATTGGACACAGTCCAATCACAAGTCGCTGTTCCAAGGGACCCTACAAATGTCTCTAATCACACGGTGCTGTGATTGGCTGTGTCCAAATGCACCGCTCCCTATATTCATATGTGTAATCTATAATTATATTTTTATATAAAAAGAATATATTTATATTTTTATAGATTGTGTATATATATTTTTTTATATAAAAGGAATATTTATATAAAAATATGGTAATTATTAAGTTTAGGCTCCTTACCTCCGATTTTGACGAAATTAGGCTCAATCTATGCGTTTTTTTTTAAAAAGAAACAACTTTTTCCTCTAACGAAATTGTCGCTCTCTACTACGAAGCAAGATATTAATAGACAAATCTGAGGGCGTGTTAGGTCATAAAATCTGTCATACCATCTATCTCTAGCTAAGTAACGGGGGGGCTTCGCTTCCCAGACCCCCCTAACACGGGGGGTGGAGGTTATAGTGTCTTGTGCTTAAGCTAAAGAGTGAATTTCTCACAAAAGACTATAATCCCCACTCCCCGTGTTAGAAGGGTCTGGAGGACGAAGCCCCCTAGTTACATAGCTAGAGATAGATGGTATGACAGATTTTATAATTTCATTATTTATCCCCTTTTTCATTGTGTGTGTGCATGTTGCTAGTATAGTTAATAATTTATACTTAATATTTTATAACATGTATTGAAATATAGCGCATGATCATGTAAAAAATGCTTTCAGGTTTCAATAGAGATTTTGGTAAACGATATAAAAATTGTTTTATTAAAATATAATAACTATAACTATAAATATAACTATTATTATATTGCATAGGCTGGTAGATTTTTTAATTCAGTACGGTGTTTTAGTACCT